CCGAGAGGCAGGATGGGAGGGGCGGGCAGAGCGAGGCAGAGGCGGAGCAAGGTGTGGGGGCGTGGTCTCAGTCACCGAGCTGGTGCGCGCTTGCGCACTAGACGTCTGCCTCGCGCCCCTGCGCAGCTGGATCCCTGTGGGTCCACTCTTGGAATGGGAATCTGGTATCTATCCCGCCCGCTATCTTTTTTAGAAAATGACCTCTATCGTTTTCAAAACTGGTGGGTCAGTACAACTGAGGATTTCATTGTTAATGTACCCATTATAAGAGCTGGAAGTTGAGTCCTTGCCGTGTGTATGCATCTGTACAAAGTATTTTTTCCGCGGTACTGAGGATTAAACCTATGGTCTCGTGCGTATTAGGCAAGAGCTCCATCGCTTGATTATTTACCCACTTTCATTTAATTTTTTTGAGACAGGCTTCAAGTTTCCAGACGGCCCTCAAAATTTCGATCCTCCTGCCTCAGCCTCTCAACTGCTGTGATTACAGTTGCCACCGCGACAAGCTTATAAAATGTTGAGGGAACTATAATGTGTTGAACATTAGGATTGTAAGTATGTAAAATGAATGATTGTAGAACCAGCTGATTTGAATCTCAGTTACTAGCCGGGTGACTGGCACATGTTTCTTTATAAATGGAGAAGAGCTACGATAGGACTGCAATAAGTTATATAAGGTTATGTAAAATACTTATTAGCACAGTGCATTGCACATAGTATGCAATAAATGATAACAAATGATGCAGACCTGAAAGGGATTTTGTAGAGTGATTGCATATAGGCTATAGGTAGCTTTACTGTCTGTTTTCCAATGTCTAAGTGCCTATTTCTATAAAATACACCTTTTAAAAATATATGGCATAGGAGCCAGGCGAGGCGGCGCGAGGCTGTAATCCCTGCACTCTGGAGGTTGAGGCAGGAGGATCGCTGAGAGTTGCTACATAGTGAGTTCCAGGTCAGTCTCAACTACATAGTGAGACCATCTAAAAAAAACCACCAAAAGAAAAAAAAATTGTTCATCTGTGAAAAGCGTTGATGTCCTTAGGGCTGACGGAGGACTGAAGATAGAAGTGTCCTGGGATCATCAGGGCTCAGAGCTGCTTCCCTGCCTCGTGTTTTCTTACTAGTAACTCTCATCACTTGTTTCTTTAATGTTTGTGTCCCCACTTAAACAGGACCACAGCTGCCTGTCAGGTTGAGTTGGGCTTCTTGAGGTACCAGGCGTGGTTTGATGCCATGAGAACTGCATGGGAAAGCAACGTCCATTAGGCTTGCTCCCCCTGTACCTGACAGGAGTCTTCTTGGTCAAGTTCCTTTTCAGCATCTCCCAAGTCCTTGTTCAACTGACTTCTCCCAGACTCTCTGGGGCTCCACTTGCTGAAATTTAAAATGCACGGAAGCAACCCAAAGAAAGCATAAAAGGTGGTAGGCAAAGCTGCCCTTCATCCACTGAAGAGGGTATCGTAGAAGATGGCAAGCTTGTCCATGTGCCATACCTGGCTGAACCCTGCCGTGTTTAATGGATGAACTTTACTTTAAATAATGTCATTGTAAGATCCTAATTTGCAAGTTTATGAATAAGTAAATCCTCTAAAATATAGCAAAATGTCCAAAAGGCTTTTATTGGCTGTGATTTATTGTTTAGAATAACCTCCTCTTCATCTGGCCAGGAAATCCTGTCCAATTTCAAAGCTTCCATTTATTGCTAATGAATTCAGATAAAATTAGAAAGCCAACTGTTACAATTACTCCTTCTGACCAAGTAGGATTACATTATTAGCTATTTTATTTAGCAAGTGTATTATGTGTGTGTGTGTGTGTGTGTGTATACACACACACACACACACACACACACACGTTTTTGTTTTTGAGACAGGGTCTCACTATGTAGTTGACTGATACAGAACTATGTAGCCCAGGCTAGTCTCGAACTTGCAGCGATCCTCCTGCCTCAGCCTCCCAAGTGCTGGGATTACAGGCGTGCGCCACCACACCTGGCTAGCAAGTATATACTGAGTCCAAGATGGTCAATACAGAAGCTGGGTGCAAAATGAAGCAAAGGTTAGACAGAATGAGTAGGAATATTAGGACACGTACACATCAACTAAATTGGAGCTCTTGGATGGAATCAACGGAAGCCAGTAAATTGACTTGTGCAATACAGGGCAGCTAGCAGAGTCAAGAGCAAAACCAGGAAACCAGGCACAGAAAATGGATAGGAACCAAGAGGGATGGGCAGCAAGGAACAAAGGCAAGGTCACTCCTACTCCCATCTCCAGGAGCAATTCCTAAACCCATGTCTACCTCACCCACTTAAAAAGAGTGTCTCCTCTGAGTGTGTAATTAGCCAGTGGGCCTTTACTCTAAAAGCCACTGATGAGGAATGGAATGTTTGTATTGCTTCATCCAAACACACAGAGGGATGGGGTGTGGACTGCCCAAAGCTGGAAAACAAATGTACTTTTAGCCAGATCTGGGGGCACACACCTGTAACCCCAGCACAGTACTGCAGAGGCTGAGGCAGGAGGACCATGGGTTTGAGGTCAGCATGGGCTACACAGCAAATTTCAGGCCAACTTAGATTACACAGTGAGACCCTATAACAACCAAAGGGCATATTAATTTCCCATGGCTGTGGTAAGCATAAGGATGAAAGTAGTGGCTTTAAATAACACAGATTTATTATTCAACAGTTCTGCTGGTCTGAGAATAGCCTTGGCCTTCAAGTTTAGATGAGAATCCATTTCTCACCTTCCCCAGATGCCTAAGGTCCCTGGCTCCTGGCTGCATCCCCACAACATCGCTGCTCCAACTTCAGCAGCAACTTCAGGCCAAATGCTACCTCTTTCCTCAGTTCCTGGTGATCACACTGGCCCAACCTGGATAACCCAGGATAATCGTCTCATCTTAAAATTCTTAATCACAGCAGCAAGTCCTTTTTGGAAGGCAACATATTCACAGGTTCGAAAGATTAAGATGTGTATATATTTATAGAAGCATTACTAGAGACTGCCACAAATAAAAATAAAAAAACTAGCACTAACCACACTTTCTTACAGCATCAATCATTGTAATGTCCCGTTTATTAAAATGTAAATTCTTGAAGGAAGTAAAGCCTTGAATAATTTCCGATCTCCTCCTGTGTTTTAGATATATAAACAACAGCACCTTGCACTAAAACAGTATTCAGTACACTGGGCATGGCGACACATGCCTGTACACAGCGTACACAGGAGGCTGTGGCAGGAGAATCACAAATTCAGGCTCAGCATGGGCAATGCTAAATTGTGAGACCCTGTTTTAAAATAGGAATGGGGATCATAGCTCAGTGTGAAGGCCCTAGATTAGCAGATGGTGCTAATTATGTGACGAGAATGTATGTTACTGTAACAAAGATAGACTGAACTGCTTCAGGAACATACAGTTTTATGAAGGAGTCAGAGGACAGCCAAGGACAAGACTGTTGGAGGATCACATTCTATCAATAAAGCTCTTCTGCTTGCTATTGAAGTGCTTCTCGAAGTTGAATGCAACATGAATCACCAGGGATTTGTTAAAATGCAGGTTCCGACTCCATAGATCTTGGGTGGAATCTAAGATACTGACAAGCTCTCAGACAATGCTGGAAAATCACCCTTTGGAGTAGCAGGGTGTTAAGGGGCTTGTCTTTTTCTCCACAGGTGAAGAGTTTGCAGGTGCCTTCAGGTTTCAACACACAGAAGAAAAAAAAAAATAAGGAAAAAAGAGAAGAAAAGAGAGTTAAGGACAGCAGTTTCCGTTGAAGCTTCCAGTCACAGTGAAAACACTTGTATGGCCACGCCTTGCTTCAAGGGTGCCTGGGAGAGGGAATCTACCAGGACACAGTGTATGAGCTCTAAGCCTATTACTACGGAAGGAGACAGTGGATTCTGGTGGAAAACCTAGTCCCTCCCACACAAATGGTTTCTTTTGCAAGTAATCTAGCAATCTTCAAAATACATGTTTTCCTAAAGCAAGTTACAAAATTCCTGGTGGTTTAGTTCCAACTGTAAAATAGAAATGATAATATTTATCTCAAGACCACCTCAGGATTGTGAAATTTAAATAGTGAGCTGAGTGCACATTATGTCTTGACTTTTCATTTGAACTACAGCCACTCTTGTTTTAAAGCCCAAACCAAATCTCAAATTTTAAAACTACACTAGAACCTAGTCATGGAATTTAAGAAACATACAATCAGGACTAATCTGCAGTACACTTTCTATTCATTTCAGACATTAGAAAACAACATAGCCAGCCATTGATAAAAGTATCCATCCATAAATTACTTTTATTTCTCATTAAATGAGCAGAGTCATTAGCATATTAATAACAGATATGTTTATTATTACATATCCATCAGTGCGGCTTTCAATACCACTTGAAACATGCATATCATCCTAGAGACAATCAGTTTTCCAGTGCTTATTTGATACACATTACTGCAAAGCCATTATAAATTACTGAGGAGGTATTTGGTTAAAAAAATAAACAATAAATCATACTGCCCATATAAATAAACTCTTGTTACCAAACAAAAGTTTAACAGTATTTATCTGGTAATTCCTATGTTAACTGGAAAACATCATGGATGTATTGACATACTTTTCTTTTTATATTGGTGCAACCTTGTATAATTTTTGCAGATAGTTTTATAAAGACATTCTTTATTGTAGCAGGTAGTTTGACGAAAAGATTGTACTCAATTTATGAAAGTCCAACAAACCTCTAAATATTTTAAATTAAACCAATTATCAATGAAAACACCCACTGACACACATAATTTTTTGAAACCCCCCCCTTTTTTTTTTTCAATTTCTATACTTACTCATGGCAGTAAAATAATTCTCTCAAATTAAGGCACTAAAAGGGCGATGTAACTCCCACTGAAAGTGTTCTAAGAATAATTTACATTTCAAACAGTGCATACATTTCTTATATGTTTGTTAACTTAATGTCTTTATCACTTAAAACCACAAAGAAATACATTATACAATTACAGAAATGATGTACCCCACAAAATGCTTTTAAACTTGGTCTTTTGTACAGTTAGTCCCTAACGTCTCTAGTAGTAAAATAACTCAATATGGCTTGGCAAAAATGCATAGATTAAACGTAATTTTTGTCTTCTCCCATTTCCCAATCTACAAATCTGCTGAGACACATACAGTATTTTGTAAAGCATAATAAATTTAATTTCTCCATCAAGTCCACCATGGGCAATCAATAGAAAGGCTTTTTAAATTCTACAGTGAGCACTGACGTTCAAGTGATTTCACTGCTTTCTTAAAATAGTTTTGTATAATCTTGCAAGAGCACAAAATTCACTTAAAAAATTCAGTTTGTCTCATTTTGAGATATTTTCTTTACTCCTTCCATGAGCTGATCTTGATAGTGATGCCATTCCATTTGAATGTGAAAGTTCCTTCCTCTCACTCATTCGAGGAAAACTGTGTTCTATCATGACCGACAGGCATTTTTTTCAGAAATTCAAAAGGCAGCACCTTTTTAGAAAAATATATCTAGCAAAGCTTTCCCCCAATTGTACTTGCATTACACAGTAATAATTAATCTACTCTACCTGTAGGCAAACCCGCAATTAAAAAAAAAAACTCTCAGTGTGCTTTTGTGCCAAAGCAAGGACAGAATAACAGCGATCTTAACCCTGAAGCCTGTGATATTTATGTCAAAGAAACAGCCTGTCTGCTCTGCATGGTAAAAGAAGCTTGGTTTCTCAGGTAGCGTCCCACACAATTCCACAAGGCAGTAGGTCACCTAGTTAACTGTTGGTGGAAAGAAAGAAAACAGTGTAATTTAAGAGATGAGCTCAGTTTTCCAATACAAGGAAACAAGTTGGAGGGAGGTAAGGGTATAACTTAGGGGCAGAGCACCTGCCTACCATGAGCAAAGCTTTGGTATTGTAATTCCCACAGCATGCACACACACAAAGTAAACATATATTTTCATATAATAATTATCATATAAAATGTAGAAAACAGAGAAAATATATTTAACATTATCTCCTTTTTGTTTCTATTCTTTAAATACATTTTCTCACTCAGTTATATTCCTATTTTAAATCATTTTAGATCCAGCATATGCCCTATACCCAGGTGGCTGATACAGCATTCTACAAAGTTAAGTTAACAGTGATAACGTGGATTTATGGTGGGGGAGGGAGGAATTATACAAGAAGAAAAAGGCTATGAGTCATTTCAAAGAATCAGACATGGTTACCAACAGCAGAGGGTAAAGAGAAGAGATGAATTAAAGACTAAGAGGCTTTAAGCCTGCTTCAAATATCTGCACAACATTAATAGTGTCGGGTCTCAGCTTCCTTCCGATTAGATTCTAACCAAGGGGTTACACTTCAGGAGAGTTGGTACGTGGGTCAGGCTTTATGAAAGTCCCAATCCTTAGCCTAGGTGATCGTATGAAAGCTGCTTAATTTCTTTGAGCTTTATTCATATGTAAAATGAAGACTTAATGAGCTATTTTAAAGTACTACACAATGTTTTCTTAGCACACAGTATATTTCTGAAGAAAAATCCATCAAAAATAAAAAAGAGGAACATACTTAGTAACTTTATATTTATTTATTTTTTGGTGGGTTTTTTTTGTTTGTTTTTTGAGATAGGGTCTCACTATGTAGTTGAGACTGACCTGGAACTATGTAGCCCAGGATGGTCTCGAACTCAAAGCAATCCTCCTGCCTCAGCCTCCTGAGTGCTGGGATTACAGGAGTGCACCACCATGCTGGGCTCCGTAACTTTATATTTAGATCAATAATATAAAATAATTTTTAATTAAAAAACCTGTGCTAATGTAAATAAAGATTAGAAAAGTTTTATATCAATCTATTTGAACTTTAAAAAGATGGAAACTACTAGTTGGTTAAAATATTAAGAGCTAAACATATGTCATGTATAACAACCCATGATAATAAAATCTGACATGAAACTAAATGTTACATTAATATTAATAACTGAAGTCAGTCATAATAATATATAAGTAACTACAAGTCATCTAAGAAGACTAGCTATAAATGATATTCAATATGGGGAAAACAAGATTTCTGATTTTAGTAAATGTTATCTAATCAGTTTTACACTGTTAATAAGGTTCACTTCAATCCTTACCTAGTTTTTCCAGATGTATTTTTAACCACTTTCCGGAAAGACTGATTTGCAGTTGATCTTGTAGAGAGAGTTCGAGGTGAAGCACGAACAAAACTAGATGGTGGATTTTTAGGGATCTTCTTTACCAAATGAGTTACCCATTTTTTTTGTTCATCCTGAGAACATGCTAACAGCAGCATATCTCTTGCTGATGTTACATCATAACTTACTACATTTTAAAAAGAGCACAGTTAAAAGCCACGTAATATTAAAAAAAAAAACATCAAATGCTTATTACTTCAAGTTCTAAAACCTTTAAGATTTACTATGGTTAATTATCTGTGAGCCATATCCCTTTCTCAATTTAATTAAAAATAAAACCAGTAATGTAAATCACAAATATAAAATAAAAATGAAGAAGTGAAACAAAGTTATTTACAGAACACAAGTTTCTTATCTTAAAATAGCCACAGTCTATTATTTTCCTTCCAGTTACCTCTAACTATAAGATATTTTGTCTCTGATACAGCATGCTGGTCCCAGCACAAAAGAAAAAAAAATAAGCAAGAGGGAAAAATTCAAAGGACGAATACACTAGAACTTCTCCACAGTCTCTAACTTAGAATAATTTCTTAGTGGCAAGGGTTTTTGAAAGGGGATAATCTGGTGCAGTGGTGCACACTGTAATTTCTGCACT